ACTCTAAGTTATTGGCCAAAGGTGTCCAAGAGACTCCCAAAACAATAGAAGCCATTGCTGCTGCCATTGGTGCCTCCCAGAAGCTGAAGGTAAGTCCTCATGGCTTATCCCCATGAATCATGCATTCAGACACCGGGTTTGGAGAAAACTAGCTAGATCTGCTCCAAAAACATCTTCCCTGAGGACTAGCTTTCATAATACCAGAAGGTGCTGTGCAAACTTCCAAGCAGAGCAGGACAAAGCTGGCTAGCAATGTTGGCACTGAAAGGAAAAATAAACATGAGGGGAGGGAGCTGAGTCGGGTACAGGGTATGGATATGTTCTGCTTCCCACTTCCCATCTTTGACTTGCTTGGTATTCCTGATTCAGCTCTCGGGTGGCCTGCTACACTTTGAGTAGTCTCACGTGCTTCTCCCACCTGTGGACCACCCTCTGCAGGTCAGTTGCTGGTGTTACTGGACACCTACAGGAGGTCTTTTAGTGATGAGCTTGCAAATGTAGTTCCTGTCTCTGTATGAACCTCTTCAAACCTGGGTCACAGATTTGGTTCCATCAATGGCCTTGCTTTCATAGGTCAGTCATGTTGAAAAAACTGTTCACATCTCTGGTTGGGCCTTCAGGAATGAAGTTGCAAGGGCAGGCTTCAGTCTTGGGTGGTTTGTTGGGAATGACTGATATCCTGAGTCAATGTATACTCCTGCTGTGGACACCCCTATGTTTAATTACTGTACTGCCTCAGCCCTGTGGGAGTGGCAAAGCCTTCTCTCCCTGGCATGAGGCTCAGAGCAATGGCAAAGCCGGCCTTCCTGATCCAAGTATGAATGCTGATAGTGTGGGGAAAATGTACACTATAGCTTTCTCTCCCTGGGATATTTATGTCCTGAAGACCTATCTCCTGTAGGAGCTGCTCCCATGGCGATTAAGTAAACCTGCTCCACTCACGCTATAGCGTGAACCCTATGACCTGGATTTAACTGTAAGAAACAACCCCCGTCTTTCTGTTCGATGTTTGTAGTAAGCATGTTGATCCTTCAAGGTCCTGCGGCTTCTCCATCAGAGACCCAAGTCCACCAGTGTTTGTTTCTCTTCATTCATCTGTGCGTTTGTCATGTCTTCCTTCTCTCGCTGTCCAGTCAGGTCAGTCCCTGGAGCCGTGCAAGGACCCAGCAGTGGTTCTCTGTGGAGCTGGGTTTATAGATGCTGCTCTCATGCCCAAAGGTCAGGACTTTTATCATGAAGGGATGCTGGATTTTGCCAAAGGCCTTTTCGGCATCTATTGAGATGATTATGTAGTTTCCTAACCTTGAGTTGGACAAGGTTCTCTAGAGGAACAGAACTGGTAGAATAAACACAAAGGTGTGTGTGTGTGTGTGTGTGTGTGTGTGTGTGTGATTTACTAGATACACATAATATACATGCATATATATTATTTTTAGAATGCCTTTAAGTCTGTGGTCTGGCTAATCCAACAATAGCTGTCTCCAGACAGAAGGGCCAAGTATCTAGCAGTTGTTTAGTCTATGAAGTTGGATGTCTCAGTTGGTCTTTGGTCTCTATTGAAATCCCAAAGAAGTAGACTCTACTCCCAGTAAAGGCATGCTTCAGCAGCAGGGTAGACAAACTCGCAGTGAGCGTGAGGGAAGCAGGCAAAAAGCAAAAAGCTTCCATCGTCCATTTCCTTTCATGTGAGCTGCTAGCAGTAGGCGTGGCCCAGATTTAGGGTGGATCTAACCAAGAAAATGCCCCACAGGCATGCCCAGAAGCTTGGGTTTTAGTTGATTCCAGGTGTAGTGAAGTTTTCAACACAAGGCCTCTTATGTGATGAATTATATGATCTGGTTATATTGAACATTCCTGTATGTCCGAAATGAAACCATCTTGATGAATGATCTATTTGATGTGTTCTTGAATTAGGTTTGCAAATATTTTATTGAGGATGTTTGCATCTGTGTCCATACGGGGAGGTCAGCCTACAATTCTTATTTGCTTGGGTAGCAGGGTACTAAGAGCTTCATAAGAAGAATTTAAGAAGTGGTCCCTTTCTATTTACAGAATAACCAAAGTACTGTGATCTTCTTTAAAAGTCTGGTAGAATTTTGCACTCGGCTCTCAGATGACCTATGTGGAGGAGGGGAGGTAGCTCTGAGTCACTGTGTATTTTTGACATGGCATAGCCATATCAAAGACCCCCAATGACTCTGACCTGTGGGAGTGGCAAAGCCTTCCCCAAGTAAGGCTCAGAGGCATAGCAAAGCCTTCCTCTGGTCCAAGTGCAAATGTTCACAGTGTGTACAGAAACTGTAAACTACAGCTTCCCTCTCTAGTATGACTACAACCTGAAACTGCTCCTCCACCTACTCATTCATTTGTTTACCACACCCACCCACCTCACTCAGCTGTTTACCATAACCCCACCTTCACTCAGCTGTTTACCATAACCCCACCCCCTCACCCAGCTGTTTACCATAACCCCACCCTCACTCAGCTGTTTACCATAACCCCACCCTCACTCAGCTGTTTACCATAACCCCACCCTCACTCAGCTGTTTACCATAATCCCACCCCTCACTCAGCTGTTTACCATAACCCCACCCCTCACTCAGCTGTTTACCATACCCCACCCCCTCACCCAGCTGTTTACCATAACCCCACCTTCTTGATTCAGAAGTGTTTTGTTTCTGGATTGCCGCTGCGTTCGTGCCCTCTGTAAGAGTGAGCACAGCACACACCACATCCCAGCTTTTCCGTGTGTCTGTCCTTTTTTCATTCCCCTCTTACCCTTGAGCCTATGGAGATCGTGGCAGAACTAGACATTTTTTTATTTGAGGGATTTTTTTCCTTCTACTCTATTGCTTGTTATAGGTTTGTTTTAATGATGTACTTCATACTGCTTTATTAGATCATAATCACCTAGAAATCCATGTTTCTCCTTGCCTTTCTAGTTTAGCTGGTGGCATATAAAACTTTAAGGTAAGTCTTTACAAGTCTCTGTGTTTCCTTATATATCCCTATTCATCTCTGATTGTATTAATTTGGGTATTTCTTTTATTTGCCAATCTCATTTCTCTAAGAATCAATTAATTGCTTTCTTAATTAATTGTACCCTTTTCCTATTTCGTTTCATTAATTTCTGCCCTGGTCTTCCTTTTCCCCACCTCCATTGCCTTAAGGTGCATCCATCATGAAGGTTTTTTTTTTTTTTTTCAAGACAGGGGTTCTCCTTGTAGACCAGGCTGTCCTAGAACTCAAGAGACCACCCGAGTCTCCGACTCCCAGGTGCTGGGATTAAAGGCGTGCACCACCCACGCCTGATTTTCATTTTGTTTTATGTGGATACTGGTTTTGTTTTGTTTTATGTGGATACTTCGTTATAAACTTAGCCCCGCCGCTGCCTTTGCTGTATCCCAGATTTTCCTAACTATTCCTTTCATTCAGTTCTAGGGCTTTCATGTCTTCATTTTCATTTCTTCTTCAATAACTTACACGTCATTTAATAGTATGTTGTTTACTCTCCATACGTTTGTAATTTTCTATAGTTTCTATAGTTTCTCTTGCTGTTTTATGTCTTTACCCCACTATGGTCAGATAGGATGCAGGGCATTAATTTTCCTGCACTAATTGAGATTTGGTTTGTGTCCTAATATGTGATCTATTTTAGATGGCTCCACATGCTGATGAGAGGGCAGATTCTTTGGTGGCTAGGTGGAATGTTCTGTAGATGTCTGTTAAGTCCATTTGATCTATGATATAATTTTGATTCTAATGCTTCTATATTCATTTTTTCCAGTCATCTAGTATATGAGGTATTGTATTGCTGTTAGGATTAATTTGTGACTTTAAATATTACAGCATTTTTTTTTATGAAACTGGGTGAGCCTATGTATTTAATTTCCCCCTGATGAACTATTTCTTTGATCAGCATGAAGTGTCTCTATCTCTTCTGACAAGTCTATTTTGTCAGAAATTGAGATAGCAATGCTGCCTGTTCCTGAGACCACTTGCATAGAATATTACTGTCCATCATTTTATCCTAGTGATAGTGAGATGTGTTTCTTGGAGGCAGAAATTACAAAAAAAAAGATACGTTTTTTAATTCAATATGCTATTTCCTTATCTTTTGATGAGAGAAGCAAAATCATTTAATATTACAGTATTTCTGAAAGGTGTATATTGATTCCTGTCGTTTTCTTTGTTGATTTGTGGCATTTGAGTACTTCTTAGTTCTCCCCTGCTGAGTATCATTTATTTTATTCCTCTTGTAGTCTCTTGGGTATATTCATCTTTCTCTCTAGTCTTAGGTATGCCCCTCAGTGCCTTCTGCAGGGATGATGTGGTAACCATGCTCCCCCAGCATTTTAGCAGGTACAGAGTCAGCAAGGGAGAAGCAGGACACCCCTGCCTGCGGCTCAAGGGAGAATCTGTTGAACAGACATAGTCTCTATGGGTTTGTTCTTCTCCCAACCACCCCTCTCCCGTCTCCGTGGTAGGAAAGAACAACAGGGCTTTCTCAGGCATGTCTTTATTCCTCTGTGCTTTGGTCTTCTACTTTGGTTCACACATGTGCTGCATTTCACTGCATCTGCCGGTGTGGCTGAGCTTCACCTGCTGTTACTGCTGAACTCTCTACTTCGAAGAGCACAACAGAGAGTATCTCTGGATCTACAGACAAGATGGCTACAACAGGGTGATCAGTAACTAAGTCTTCCAGGATGGGAACGATCCCACACAGCTCCAGTAGCTGTCTAGGGATATGACCAGTAAAGCTAAAGAAACCACCACCAAAAAAAATAAAAGGTTAGCAAGGCTGACGAGACACCACATCTACGCTCCCTCCATCTGAGGAAGGCTAAGCCTTGGTCCTGACCAACTCTGAAATAACAGAGACCAAAGCCAGCAGTGCTACTCTTTGGTCCCAACTGCTACATGAATGTGGTTCATCTGGGGCCCTAGAGTTTCCAGATAGCCTCCCTCAGCAAGATCTGAGCACATGTGGCCTCATTCTAAAACGTCTTGCCCTCGAAGGCCTTCAGGTTGAAGGCAGTATCCAGAAACTTCCTCAGTGACACCAAGTGGGCGTTCTTATTTCCAGTGGCTGGTGCGGCTGCTGGGTCCCGGCCAACATACCTGGAGGAGGAGAGTCAGCTCAGGGAAGGGCTGGTACTGTCACACATGAAGAAGACTGCCTGCCTGGGTAGTCCTTTACTTAGAGGTACTTGCACTGTGGGCCCACACCAAATTCAGCTACCCAGCCACAGGACACAGAAATTGCCCACTCTGTGACCATGGAGACAACAATCATGCCTCAGCCCACAGACTTTTGGCTTTTCCCACATTTCTCATCCCTGTCACCATCCTCACAAAGGCAAAGATGCCCACACTGAGCACCAGTAGGGCTACTACCCACAAGGCACCTTGGGAAGCTTGCCCGCACACACTGCTAATACTATCCTTGTTTTCACAGACAGGAGTCAGTGCCAAGGCTAGGGTCTAAGACTAAAAGGAGGAGATCCGAGTCACACAGGAATTTGAAATTTGATCCTGGCTGCAGAATCCTTAGGCTTACTATCCTTGAAGGTCCCACTGGGAATCCCCCCCAACTCTGATATGCTGACCGAGAGCTCAGAACCTGTAGAGATTCAAATGCTTGCCAGAGAAGGCTAGTTCTCGGTGGCACTGCCAATAAGGCAGGAAAACCTAGTATGGATTGCCAGGATCAAGAGTCAGTGCAGGCTAGCAGAGGTGGGAGGTAGATATTGAGCTCTCTAGCCCAGTACCATATGGGCCGGGAGTGGCCCAGGAGAGTCATGAAGCGTGGACTGATGTAGTCGTAATAACCCATGTTCTTATGTTCTTCCTGACACCACACCAGCTCAGCTCCCGAGTACTTCTCTGCCTCCCGCATGATCAGGTCAAAAGGGAATGGAGAGATCTGGGGAGGTAGAGATACAAAGGCATAGTCGAGGAGGGACATGTACAGGGCCTGCTCTGTGCTCAGTTAGTCATACCCACACACCACAGAGCAGGGGCTGGTGAGTGGACCTTATCTATCACTACAGTGGCAAGACACTCAGCAAACCTGCTCTAGGCGTGTGATGGCCACTTGCTTCTCCAGGCCCTGGCTGCTGCGCTCCTTTACCAGGTCATAGTACACCTTTCCCGTGCAGAAGATGAGCCGCTGTACCTGCTCAGGAGAATATGCTGCAGGGCCATCTTCTGGAATCAGCCGCTGGAAGCTAGTTCCTAAAGGATGGACCAGGTACCTCAGGGGCATCAGCACTCAGAAGGGCAATAGGACACTGAGCACCCCAACCATCCCTGGGCTATTCCCAGCTACTGAGCTGATTCAGGTCAGGCTGATTACATCAGACAGTTTTTGATCCCAAAGATGGACTAAAGGACAGATGATGCCCTAGGTTATCAGAGAGAGAAGGGAGACAGGTCTGTGGACAAGGGCAGAGCTCGAGGACCACATTCAAGGTATGGAGGACAGGAACAGAAAGGACCCCATATTACAGAGAATGTAACATGATAGGCCCAGGATAGCCATCCTGGTCCAGATCTGCCACCAATCCCCAAGGTGTGCCCACATTACTCATGGCACTCAGCCCCGTGTGCCGGGTGAGCTGTTGGGAGGCCACTGTACACTCCTCTCTCAGCCCCATGGCAGTGCTTCTATCTCCCAGGCCTGGCCATTTCACCTTCCTGAAGTCAACATGCTGTGAAACTCCTCAGAGAGCTATTGTGATGTCCCTGTATCACCACCCCTCTGAGGGCACTTAAATTCAGAGGGCAGCTGCTGCCAGGTGTAGGGACAGAGCTACCAGTCTCCCAGGAAGCCAGTCAAACTGGTGGATCTGACTGTCTACTACAGCTGCCTTCCCACGATGGACACACAGATGAAAACAAAATAAAAAACCAACAATAAACCCCTCATGTGTCCAGCTGCTGAGGCCCTGACTGGCTAGATCCTGTCTCTACTCAGGACTCAGCCAAGCCAGATCTGCTGTTTGCTTCATTCTTGTGCCTCCCTGACTCCCTACCAGATCAGCCTTCAAGTCTTCATGTGCTTTCCTGGCCCCTGATTCGTGGGGGAGAGGGCAGCCAGGCTCCCAGTGATGTCTATTTGGCTCATGAGTGAAACTATAGATAGAAAGTGAGTGAGGGGCACTCAGTATCCAGCACACCAGACACTGCTCTGCGAGTGTCTCATCTGCCAGCCCTTATTGACAGGTAAGAGGCCACCAACTCCCCGGACCCTGGAGCTTATTCCAAATGATCTGATCTAGGCAAGGTGCCAATCTCCCAATGTTGTCACAGGTGAGGACCAGAACAGGAGCTGCTGGAGGGACAATGAAGGCAGAGGCTGAGAAGACAAGGGAGCTCCAGGGGCAGAATCCACACATCAACCACTAAACCTCACAGGTCACCACCCCAGTGAAGGAGACCCTCCCGGCCCAGATCAGACACATACCGGACACCATCTGGTCAAAGCTGGACTTGGCATCAGGGTGCCTCAGCAGAGACTTGGGTGTGAAGACAATGAGCTGGAAGGTAAAAAGCCAGCTGCCAGTAGCTCCTATCCATCTATGGGTTCCCACATCCAACCCTTGCACCGTCATGATGCTCAAAGGCTAGGGCGGCTCACAGGCTTGCGGAAGGGCAGCAGGATCTGTCGGCGCAGCACATGGAAGTAGCTGGCTGGTGTAGAGCAGTTCACCACAATCCAGTTGCAGTCGTAGAGCTGGCTCACCTCGAAGTCCTCAGTGAACACCTGCAGGGAACACCTGGTGGCTAGCAGTGGCACTCTACACCTGGGCTCTACTCCCCACCTGGGGACAGCAGGCAGCACTCACTGGGTAGGCGTCTGAGTCGTCATTGCTCATCTGCAGGAACCTCTCTGGCCTTGCTGAGGAGTGCTCTGGACCCTGAAAGTACACATGACCCAGACTGAGCCTGCAGAAATCCCAGGCTTGCTGAGCCCAGATGGCTTCAAGGGGCAGACAAACCCTGTCTGTGCCTGTCCCCACCTTGCCCACAAGTCTGGATCATAAGTTCCAGGGGCCTGAAAGGCTCTTCAAGGGATCAAGGGGTGACCCTGCCCTCCTGTGGTAGGCCTGCAAGGGCCTCCAGCCCTCACCATGCCTTCCATGCCATGGGGCAGCAGGAGCACGATGCCATTGTGCCGCACCCACTTGGCCTGGCCAGTGCTGATGAACTGGTCGATGATACACTGGGCTGTGTTGTGGAAATCACCAAACTGAGCTTCCCAGAGGACCAGGGCGTTGGGGCTAGCCATGGCGTAGCCCAGCTCAAAGCCTAGGCAAAGGACACCAAGACAGAGCGCGGTGCATTGTCACCAAGTAGCAGTGGGCCCAGTTAAATTCCTCAGTATGTGCCACCAGTCCCAAGCAGACCTTCCCAATACATCAGGAAGAGGCAGAGGCTCGCTGGGCCTCAGAGGCCTGGATATGTGTTACTGGATGTGGAAGCATGCTTTTCTTACACCATACGTTGCCATGTGCAGTTTTATGTGGTCCTTGGGGACACCACATAGACCATCAGCCAAAAAGACCCCTGAAAGCATGTGTAAAGCTCCTGAGAAAGGGTAGGCACAAGCCCATAGGCAACTCCCACAGGTGGGGCTGAACCCCAGGACAAGGAAGTTAAAGGGCAAGTGTGCTGGCTTCAGGTAAGCTGAGGGGACGCACATCCCCATAGAGTCACAGGTGAACCTCAACACTGGGCTCCTGGGGTGCAGGATAGAGAAGGTGGGCTTAAGACCATGTGTTCATGGCCAGGCTTCCTGCTAGGTGATCAGTAGTTACAGACTGCTATGGACTCTACTGGACTTTTTTATGGACCCTCTGTAGTTGGCATCCAGGGAAAGAGTTTAGGTATCATATAAAAAATAAAGCAATTTGGGTGTGGTGGTGGACACCTTTAGTCCCAGCACTTGGGAGGCAGAGGTAGGTAGATCTGTGTGAATTTGAAGTCAGCCTGGTCTACAGAGTGAGTTCCAGGACAGCCAGGACTGTTACACAGAGAAACAAACTTTGTCTTGAACAAACAAACAAAAATAACAAACATAAAAAAACAAAGCAAATATCCCTTTCCCCCAACAGAGATGCTCATTGGACCATGTGGGACATGATTTCATCTCCCAAATGTCTCTGGAAAAAAACTGTCCAACCACAGTTCCTCAGGACCATCCTAGGATCTCTGTCTTCCACCCCTATCTCAGAGAGTGCCTGCCCTCCCAGACCCTGAGGCATCCCAGTGAGCTCCCCACCCACCTAGAACTCCATACTCTGAGAGGGAGCTATTGCACACAGTGTAGGGGGCTTGGTCAGGCCACAGGTGATTCATTGGGACACACGTTCTCCGGTCAACTTCCTGGTCATGAAGAACATGGTGCCGATGGCTGGGGACAGAGAAATCAGGATAGGGGCAAGAGCAAGGAGGCGGTCACATGGGCAGCAGCAGGTAGGTAGGTCTTGTTGTGTCCCAAAATGCCTCTAAGGGCCTACGAAATGGCCACACCAAGAAGGTTACCCAGCAACATGTTCCTTCCCGAAGTGTCTTACCAGCCCTGCTCCCTGCCTGCTGGCCACCCACACAGTACACTAAAGGTGCCAGGCCTAGATCTGAAAGCAACAACGTCTCTTGCCTCAGCTTCTCAGCCACAGAGGGAACCAGTAAGACCTGCCTCGCCAGCATCCCAGAAGCAGGGTGTCTCTTGAGACCCCAGCAGCCACATCTTCAAGGTAGAATCTCCTATATGTCCTACAATCTCAACCACCACACCTGCCCTGTCCATGCTCAGAGGAGTTGGGAAGCACTGGGAAGAGACCCCAAGATTAAAGAGTAAGGCCTTGAGCCACTGGGTTGAGAGCCACTGGGTTGAGGCCCAAGCCCAACAAAGACTGGCATGCAGTTCAGGATGCAGCTGACGGCTGCCTGGATCCAAGCTGAAGTAAGGCTGGCAGAAATGAGCTCCAGGAATGGAAAAATGGCTTGTGGTCCTAAACGCCAATGAACATGACATTGAGCCAAGACTGAATATTCAGGGCCCCAACCTAGAAGAAATATGAGTCCTCACTCAGATCCCAAAACTCATGCAGCAAGGCGGGAACTCCAGGCTGATGCAGGTTACCGGTTACAGAAATAAAGGCTCCTGAGGGCCACAAATGACTACCAGCTTGGGACAGCCAGTCAGTTCAGCATGTCAGCGTCAGGAAAGGGATCATATGAAAACTTGGCCCTGACTATGGATTTAGCCAGACAAATGTCCCCCCAGGGAGTTCCTAGAGAGGGGGAGTCAGGTCTACTTCAAATCTCTAAGGCTAACCCTGGGATGCCTGTGTTTTGTTGAGTTATGAGATCCATGGGCTCAATGAAGACAAGACCAGCGCTCAAGGGCCCAGGGCCCAGCCTGCCTCAGCCTCACCTGAATGTGCCCCTCTCCACATCTTGGCCACTGAGCCGCACATGGATGCCCTCTTTCAGCAGTGAACCAAAGGCCATGTACTCTGCCAATGCCCAGTCCACTGTGCGCTTCTTGGTCATGTCTGCACGGCCACGCAGGATTCGAGAGAGGCCTGTGAGGAACACGGTTCAGCCTCAGGCCTGGATGGCTGAAGCACCAGAGCCATGGGGTGAATGCTCAGTGAGAAAGCAAAAGCTGTGGGTGGTCCCCTCAGACTCTCCTCCCTAGCCTGTAGCCAGACCAGGGCTGACCTGAGCTTCCTCTCCAAAGGAGAAAATGGTAATATACTGGGTCAGAATTCTCTATGACACTTCCATGGAGGACTGTCCCTGTTCTCCAGAAGAGAAGACTAAGCTAACAAACACCATACACCCAGAAAGACCCTTGCAATGTGTACAGAATACAGCTCTAAGCCTGGGTGCCATCAGTGGGTACCTCATGCGTACTGTCAGAGTTGCATTCCCAGAAGCTATCTAGAGAAGATACAGACATCTTAGCATAGCCGTGAGGCCTCAAGCTTCTCAAATAGAAACAGTGGGTACAGCTAAGGAGCTACAGTCAGTGACCACCTACTACCAGCCAGACTCACAGACCAGGAACTCATGGGGCTACCTTCTGGCATGAGCCTGAGCTAGTGGCACACCCATGTCCTCCTTGCCAGCAGAATTCTTCCCCTACTTCCCTGTTCCCCTAAATGGCCCAGGAGTACCCTAGAGGCTGTCTTTGGCAGATTCAAGGTACCAATCTAAGACCTCACCCTGGCACCCAGCTGGAATGTGGGATCCACAAATGCCTAACTCTCCATCTTCACTAGTAACATGGGAAGGGGCCCATATGATGCTCTGAGAGCCAGACCAGGAGACCAAGAAGCAACCCATGGACATGCCACAACCTTTGTTCTCCCTTGGTATTCCAGCAAATCTCCCTGAGGGATATAGTGTCACTTCTGAAAGTAACCATGTTGGAACTTGCACAGCAGCCTTACCTGTGTGGATCTTAAAGTCCTCCAGGGGCACAGAGCTGGCCACATTGCCAATGTGGGTCAACATGTCCTCAGGGATGCCGGTTGTAGGGCATGTCATGCTCTTGGGCTCCCCATCCACATTGAAGAAGCCTGAGGGGACAGACTCCATTCATACTCTGGTGGTGAGGTGAGGGGACTTTGACCCAGGATAGGAAGGATGCAATTCCTTACCTCCAGAGACAACAGTGTATACCTTTGGGATCTGCCACAGATTAGAAGCCACAGCCATAGCTCCTACACCCGCCCTAATACTCCCCAGGACCCTGAGGTCACAGCTGACCCATCTTGGCCCCACCAGAGGGCCCCTCGTGGTAGACACCCCCAATACCACCCACTCCAGTCCCTGGCAAGGCACAGTGCTCTAATGCCACCTCCTCCACACTGGCCCACCTCCATCTGCAGAATGGCTCACTCCTGCATGCCAGGCACAAGCCTCGCCTTCTAGCTCTGCATTGGCTGCTCTCCAGAGCCACCACAGTCCTTTTCCTGCACCAATGCCCAAAGGAGGCTCAAGGGGATCACTGAGCTGCATGTGCCTCACTCACCAGGCCAGGGGGAATCCAGCCAGTGTTTTATATGCAGGATCTTTTTATCCTTGGACCTGCCATATGCCTCCTCGCAGATACGGTCATATTTGGCAATTTCTTCCTGAAAGTGAGAGGAAGATGTTAACAGAATATTAGGCATCCAAGAGGGCCAGTCAGGCCAGACGTAAAGCCCTGGTCTCCATCACCAGGTTCTAGAACTCTCTATTTCTTGGCTCATAGGGATGCCATGGTCAGAGGCCTAGATCTCAGAGTTCAGAGTGGTCCTGGACAGGTACTCCAAAGCCTGAGGAGCCCAGAGTATGCTACGGAAGGAGAGCCAGGGAGGCGAGACTCTCACCTTGTTTTCAGAGGTTCTACCATAAAGGAGAAGAAATAACATGTTTATAACAATTTTAGGCATGATCCCAATATAATAATACCTTTTAAGAGAATCCTTACAGGACATCCCTACAGAAAGATCCCTTTCCTGCCTGAAACTTGGCTTGTCCCAGGTCACACTGCACACCCATGTGTACTCATGCCCTAAATTCCTGTGTCCTGTTAAAACCAGAGACTTTTGGAGACAAGGAACATCAGCTACTCCTTTAAACCTTCGCTGTCTAGCACTGGGCTGATGGCATCTGCAGCTGTCCCATGTTCCCATTCTGCCCATCTGAGGTTTGTGCCCACAGGTCCCGCCTACCTACCTCAAACTCCTGTAGAGTGACTGTGCCCTCAGCAATGAGCTTGTCTGCGTACTTCTTCAGCACGGGCACCTGCTTGTGGATCTGCTTGTACATGAGCGGCTGCGTGAACATGGGTTCATCCATCTCATTGTGACCACGCCGGCGGTAGCAGACCTGCACGGGCAGCCAGGGGTTCAGTCCCCCCCACTACAGTGCATAGTGCACACGCAGGCCGGGGTCCAATCCGAAGCATTCCAAAGGTCCTGTTCTCACCTGTCATTGAGTGAATGCTCCATGCCCAGGCCTTTGCACAGATGATTGGTTCTTGGTGACACCAACCCTCAGTCTAAAAGCATCTAACCCTCAATCTGAAGATATGACTGAAGCCCTAACCACACATGAAGATGGACCAGCAGCATGGCCCCAGCACCCTCAAATATGCCAAGCTTGATCAGCACAGCAGAAAAGAGCCCTCATACCTCAAAATCACCTGGTTTGTTAGCTACCAGCAAGGATGGGCTACTAAGCCTGCTCTGGTACCAGCATCCTCAAACACACCAGATTTTCTTGGCAAGTCAGGAAAGGGCTACTCACTCCATCCTTGGCTCCAGCATGCACAAATGCACCCATCATACCCAGCATAGCAGGAATAAGCTGTCTACTCCACCCCTGCCCTGGCCTCAGTCAGTGCCCTAGACCCACCAGGTCTACAACAACATCTTTGTTGAAGGTGTTCCTCCACTCAGCTGCCACACTGCACACATAGATCACGGCCTCCGGGTCATCCGCGTTCACATGGAAGATGGGCGCATTGACCACCCGTGCCACATCAGTGGGGTAAGGTGAGGAGCGAGCCATTCGAGGATCTGTGGTAAAGCCAATCTGTGAGAGCAGGAGAAGCCAGATGTGCTGTGTATTCTTTCCTGAGACAGGATTTCACTAGGTGCAGACTCCAGTAAGCCTCCTATCCTAGGCTCTAGAGTGGTTGGAACTACAGGCATACACTGCTGTGCCCAGAGCTCCTGCTTACTTTAGGCTAGACATACGGTGATACGCAAATCAGGGAGTTGGGGGTTAGTTTGTGGGGTGTTATCAAGGTACCCAGGACATACAGAGGACATGAAGGGTGACAGTCAATGAGTCCTTGACCAGCTATGACAGCAGTTGCTACGGGTGGCAGCGGCTGCAGCAGGGAGGCTGTCCCGCTTTTCTACCAGCCCCTGTGCTGCACAGGTACACAGGCCTGGGGGAATCTGATCCATCAGAGTGACTGCAGAGCTTTGGGCAAGATGTTCCGGGTCCCAACCTCATTGTCCTCATCTATAAGGAAGTCTCATTAAAGTCCTGCCCCCAGCAAAACTCGAGAAAGATTAAATGCTGCTGCAAATGAGGCAGAGAACACGGGGCTTCTAGCTGTATGAGACTGCTGCCCGGAAGGAAGGAACATGACTACCAACTAAGACCAACGTGCTCAGGGGAGCTCAAGGTCACCTACAGCTACACAGCCAGCCACTGTGCTGTCCTCTGTGCCGATACATACGGGCGTCTCTAGGTGCCTCTGAGAATTTTTTCAGGACCTCAGTCCTAGATACAAAATTCTACAGTATTTGCATAGAAGCCACATCTGTCTCTACGCCTTTAATCATATACATAATATAATGCAGACCATATGTAAATAGTCACTATATTATGCACTTTAGAGAACAAGAAAAAAAAAGCCTGCTAATGTTCTGTACAGGTTACTGCTTGTTTTTCCCTGGTTACTTTTTTATGTGTGATGTGTGGCTCAAACCCAGGGCTTACATATGCCAGGCACGGCTCCTCCCTGGATTTTCTGAGACAATCTCAACATACAGCTCAAACTGTTCATGAACTTTCTATGAAGTACCAGCTGGAATGGCAGGTACCACCGCACCTGAATATTTTGGATCCATAGTCAATGAAGCCTATGGATGTATAACCTCCAGCAGTTACAAAACTGTCTGTAAATGTATATAGATGTGTGTCCAGTACATATATGTTATGTAGCTACCAGTTTCTCAGACCAGGATACAAGGCTGGAGTCCGGTTCGCTGCCTGAGGTTTCATGCTGGGCTAAGGAATGGGTTCTCTACCTGAAGTCACATGTGCTGGGAAGCTGCAGGGCAGAGGTATGAACACCACCACCAAAGCTTCTTCACACTTCCCACCAACCCACAGCCTAGACTTGTAGGAACGGGCGTGCAGCCTGGCATGGAGCCGATACCCTTACCTGGTTGTTGACCACAACATGAACTGTGCCGTTGGTGGTATAGGAAGGCAGGTCACTCAGATGGAAGGTCTCATAGACGACACCCTGGCCAGCAAAGGCAGCATCCCCATGGACCAGGATGGACATGACCTGAATGGCAGGGTATAAACAACCAGGATCCTGTATCTCAGCCTATGAAGCCCACCCTGTTTCCTCTTCCATCAAGATCCAGGATCTATGTCTCCAGGATCTAGTTTCTCAGAGCCTTGTTCTCAAAGTCTGATTTTCAGGTGCCACTTTATGGACCCAGAAAAACTCACCTTCCTACCCTGGGCATCCCCACGGTAGAACTGCTCTGCCTTCGTTTTCCCCTGTACCACAGGGTCCACAGCTTCTAGATGGGAAGGGTTGGCTACCAGTGACAGTGTGATGTTCCTGTTGGTGACACGGTTGATCCTCTCATGGTACATGCCCAGATGGTATTTGACATCACCAGAGCCCTGAGGGTAAGGGTGGGATACAATGAACATACCACCACCAGTGTGGAATGAAGGACATCTCATGACCATGCTGAGGCAGCTTGACAGGCTTCTTAGAACGTACCAGAGCTCACTGGTACCTTACTCCTCACACCAATGAAATCAAATGCATATGCTTTAGAGGATATTTTAGGATCCAGGAGTAGAGAAAGCGTACTTTCTAAACAATATATAAAGTCCCTATGTGGTAAGATAGCTAAGCCAGGACAAATCTTCCATTAGCAAGGGGAAGAAAATCCAGGCACAGTACCAAGGGGGAAAACAAGCTGGTATGTCAAATGCAGGGAAAGAGCTAATTGCTCTCAATATGCAAAGTGGCTTTGTAATTAGTAAAGTCAAATCCCAAAGTCTCAAGAAAATAAACAAAAGCTATGAAGGGGATTTTATAGAACAAGAACCACAGAGATTCAAACTAGTTGATTCATTTTAAAGTGTTAAAATTAAATAATTTTTCACCCATCCAATTGGCAAAGGAAAAACCAACAGAGAAAGGGTAACAGCTGTGGGCCGTATGTGCTGTGTGTGGGCCCAGGGGAGGCTCCATGGTGTCTGCTCCTTGCCCAGGCTCCTGCTCTTCTCAGGCACCACCTAACAGCTGTGGTCATGTGCTCACTACAGCAGGCAGATTCCTGACACAGAACACTGCAGCTGCAAGAAGCCAACAAGCCAATCTCGTTACAGGCTGGCATGGAACAGAGGCAACGTGGTGAGAGAAACCACCAGATACCTACAGTGCCCCAAGCTGTTCTCATGGCTCCTGGACAAATATATGTGTCTGCAGAGAACACACCTCACCACAAATGCAGGCAAGTATACACAGACACACCACAGGGATGAAGTATCATGGAGAAAGTGTTTTAAATTTTCTTTAAATAATGTCCCATTTCTTTTTCAAATTATATTTTTTCCTTTCAACAATACTTACATTTTTTTTAAAAAAAAAAATCTTTAAAAAAAGTGCTACTCAGATAAAAATTTCAGTTTTCTTTCCCCCAAATCCTCTCTTCACTTCCTCACACCCTTCTCGGGCAGGGCCCTTTGTGACTATTCTACTGAGGAACAATCAGAGGCTTACAGGTGTGAAGGCGGCTGAACAGGATGCAGGAAGATCCTGGGCTGGAAGCCAGCCATGTGGGCACCAGGCCTGCTCTGGCACCATGTGTCAGGTGCTCTTGGACCAGTTTCTTTAACCAACTAAACACCTGTGCTGGGTGGTAAGGGCTTCAGAGACAAAGTTCCTTCCTCCCTCTCAAAAGGAAAACAGATGAACATGCAGACATTGATGAACACATGGGGTTACACACAGACACACAGATGTAAACATACAAACACATACAAAGATGCAGACACACACTGACATAGACCACACACACACACACACACACAATGGGAGGAGGAGAATGAAAAAGGAAAGAGAAGAGACAGAGCAAAGGGATACAGAAGAGAGAACAGACAAAATGTCCAGGTCAGGAAATTCAGCTAGAGACTTGAATGAAGCAAAGGCCAGGAAGGCAGGCAGTAGGGCTGAGGGTTAGGCATGGCTAAGAGCCTCAGTGGCATGCAAGCCACAGGGTGGAAACCAGCTGTGGCCGGTGGGCCGAGGGCACAGGAAGCCCTCGGTCCACCCATGCCTCTCTGGAGCCAAGAAGTCACTTGAGGCTGATAAAAGGACTGTGGACACAAAGGCTCAGCTACAAAATCTTAACAGAGAAACTTCGGGGAAACCCCTGTACCTCTCTGGGCCTCAGTTTTTCTAACTGGAAATAGTAAGTTTGGCATGGAAGATCCACTGAGGCACCTACTTCCCAAAGCCTTAGGGACCTGATGCAAGCATCCCAGCCCCTGGGACTCTTTCCGTGTCTATCAGCCTGAAAGTTCAAGTCCCAAACTCTCCCAGCCTACCTCCCAAACACCAGGCCCTCTGGGGTACCCCAAGAACAGTGTGTGGCACCCACCTCATCTGCTGCTTCCAGCTTGGGATCAAACTGACAGAAGATCTGTTCCAGGTCCTTTCGGATCACGTTAGCCAGCACATTCAGCCTGCCCCTGAGGACCAGAATGTTCAAGGCTATCACCTGACACTATAATCACCTTCCTACATTGGCCAAGTACAGTCATTCCCCCTACCTGCCATGGAACCTATCAGAACCCTTCCTGCTGGAGCCCAAGTAAAGCCCAATCCTCCCATCTTGTCTCGATATAATAGGCCCTATAGTAGTTCTAGTTTGTCAGCTTCCTTTAGGCAGACTCTCTGGACATCAACAATTTAGAAAGCCCTTGTGGAGGGGCAGAAAGCCACCAAGTCACCTATAGAATGCCCCAAAGACCCTACCATTACATAGGCACCTCCTGCATACTGAAACTAGCATGCTAAGGCTCACATGCCCCTCCAGCCCAGCCAGCAGCAGCTTTGAGCAGGATGGGGCTGAAGGGACTCAGATAGGGGAAAATACAGAAAGAATAGGCATCCATGGACCAGATTCTTCAGCCCAGCCTGAACTCACTATTCAAGGTACTTACTGCAGGGTGGGCACCAGCCTGATAGGAACACTAAGTGACTCAAGAAATTCCCTTCAGAGCCCATTAGCTTCAGGGTGACAGTGACCCTAAGCCTGACTCCCAGCTCCACACAGGAAGGGAAAGCCTCTTCCTGGTCAGTTCCCTCCACACACCTGCCCCCACAGACACCCAGGAACAAAGAACATTCCTCAGCTGCTCTGAGAAAAGCCCTTCATAGCCCTAAGGTTACCATTCATGCCATGGAAGCCTGAACTAACCCAGCAGGGCCCCTCTGATCAAAGAGCCCTGCAGGCAAATGTCCACCCAGATGTCTGGGCCATCTCTGTCTTCCAGGTGTCATCTTCTCCTGCTGGTCTAATAGCCATGTGTTCCATGCCTCCATGGCTACTGGGACAGCTCTGCCTAACCTCCTACCAGACACTGGGCATTTCCAGATCCCTCAAAGGACCATGACAGACAAACCTCAGACTCCTGGAAGACCTGCCAAAACAGAAACTGTCCACACCACACATCTAGAGTCCATTAGACATTACAGTCCTATGCTAGCCCAACCACAACCAGCTTTCTAGATCACAACAGGGCTTTATCCAACAGACTGCTGGCGAATGAAAATTCAAACTCTTCATCAAGGGCAACACAGTCATCTTAAGCCGGGAAACAGACTGTGCACCCACCTCTAGAGACCTAATGTCCAAGGAATGCCCACTCAGGGCCATCTACTCACACCCCCCTAACACACACCCTTGACGTCTCCTTATCTACAGGATTTGAACACAGTATGTCCCATAGTCTGAGCTCCTGCCCTTCCTAGAGAAAGCAGAAACGTGACCAGAGAATCTGATTGGGCCCTGGCTGCATGTGGCTTTGGCCAAGTATCTGGCTCTTGCTGTAAAGAACAGGCCAGACCAGGGGCCCTGAGAACCTATCAAGTTCCTTGCTTTTTTTACCTCAAATCCCACCAATGCCCCTCACTCTGACTGCCACCTCCCTTTTCCTCACAGCAAGCACCGTGGTGAGGGGACTCAGTGGCCCTACCTGTGTGGCATCCCCAGGATGACATTCTCAATCCCCATCTCACTAGACTTGTCAATAATGGTCTTGAGAGCAGGGATCATGACCTCACAGCCTTCCAGGCCAAACCTCTTCTCCGAAGACCACTTCCTGGCCAGGAAGTCTTCAAACCTGTTTGGGGAAAGGGAAGGGGAAGGAAGGGGTACAAAGGGACAAGGTTAGGGGCTTTTCACAAGCACTGGGAGCTAAATGCCCAGGACACAGGACAAAGTCACCTCCGTCCTGTTTAATCCAGGACCCAGCCTGGATACCATGTCATACTCACCTAACGAAAAGCACAAGGCAGGTTACCTTGGGAATCCTCCCAAAACCTTAGCTGCCACCCACTCCATGATACCACTCTCTCCTCTCCACAGTCAAGCTCCCTAAGAGGCCATCCTTCAGTACTTCCGCCCCACCACCGTCCTGCAAGCCTCAAGCACCTCTACCCGCCAACGCCTAAGTTGAGCTCACACCTCACTTCTCAAAAAGTCACTCAGCACCCAGCAGCCAAACCTGGTACACCTCCAGGCCCCTGCAGCTCTAGACGTCCCCTCCTCCAAGGCATCAGTAGGGAGCATTGCACTGCCCCTGGCAGGGGTGCCATCACACACCCCATGCCGGGAACAGTATTCTGTCACGTCATTCCTATAGCTGTCACTTCTGCCCATGCCCAGTGCGACCTCCACTGCAGTGTTTCTCTTCAGTCCCATCCCCTCCCACCTATGTGGCTCTGATGGTCACATTAACTGAGCATATGGTCCTGATGTTTTGCCTAAGGGCTTCTGCAGGCATCCGGCAGTGGGACGAAGTCAGTCTGCCTTCCCTTGCTAGGCCCTTCTGGTTTCCCTGCCATGGGTACCAAGCATGGCCCTCCAGCCATGCAGACTGTCCGTCAGGTAGTGCTGACCTCATGGAGCGCACCAGCCTAGCCAGCAGGGTTCGCTTCTCCTCGATGGAAAATTGCATCACACCAGGAGTTTCAAATTTCTGTCTGATCCACTGGCACTGCTCCACATCATTGATAAACATGAACTCCAGGCCGATATGCTGGCAGTAGGTGCTCTAAGAGGGACAGGTGGAGAGTCTATGAGGAACGGGTGGGAGGGGTGATAGCCCCAGAGTCTGAGACTGAAAAGGAAGTACCCTCCCTCCCTCCCTCCCTCCCTCCCTCCCTCCCTCCCTCCCTCTCTCCCTCCCTCCCTCCCTCCGCTCATGCTCAAGAGCTCCAGAGCTAAGCCAGACACGCACGCCTTCCTGGGCTCACCTCCAGGCGACGTATGATCTCTCGAAGAGAGAGTGTGTTCTCCGAGCCGCCGATGAAAGTAGTGGTGGGCAGCCGGAACTCCTTATCCAGATCAGCCTCCTGCAGGTCATAGAAGGCTGGAAAGAGCCCAAGGCAGTAGAAAAAGAAAGACTGAGGTTGGGCTGGGAGATGAAGAGCATCTCAGCAGTACCCACTGCATCCACCCTGAGACCTGTCTGGAAACCCTGAACGCTCATCAGTGGAGAGAGGGAAGAATCTGCCCCACCTGCTGCCGTGAGTGGGTTTGGACAAGTGGTAAACCCCAGTCCAGGTGGGAACACATACCTCTTGCAACACTGTATAGCATCTTGGGGACACTGTATAGTGAGTAGAAAATGGATCCAAGAGCAAGAGTCACACAGACAGAGGCTCAGGCTAGGCTCCAAGCCCTGCAAACTCCTCACTGGGCTACAGGCACCAGCTAGCATGACACTGCCAGGGTGACAGGGAAGGATCCTAACTCTTACCCAATTTATCAATGGTTGTGATCAAGTCTGAGGGCACAAAGGAATCCAGGTCTGCATCTAGGATGCCCAGAGGGTCCAACTGGGCCACATGGTGGCCTCGGATCTAGGAAAAGGAAGAATAATACTGCTGGACAGATATTTATTCCACGGGAGGCTCAGAGACCCACCCCACTTTCAGCTTCAGAGTTCCGAGTTGTCACACATCCCACTGTGCTGTCACCCACAGTGAATCCTCTGATGGCAGATGGTGGGAGCTCCAGTTCAAATGCACAGTATGAGGCTGGCAAACATAAGCAAAGACCTACACATGAAGTTATATGCCATACAGCATTACTACGACTTTCCAAAATGTCTGACCCATGAACACGGAAAATGCACACAAAAGTGGGGGGAAACCCCCACCTGCAGTTATGCAACCATTTCCACAATCTCCCATACCCACACTTGTGCATGAACATGCACAACAATAATAAAGAATAATAAAGAGAACATTTAAGAGATCAAGCAGAGGGCTTCAAAAATTAATATATAGACATTACGAGAAATCATAAACTAAAAAGAAACCATGAAGTAAGAAAAGTTATTGTACATAGAGATGGGACAATATAGGAATTGTAAAAACTGGATTGAAGGTATAAGACTTCAAAGAACCGGGCTTGTTAAGAATATCATATTTTGAAGATTTGACTTTGGAACACTGTAAACATTTTAATTAATTAATTAATTAATTAAAAAACTAAATTAAGATTTAACACGAATAGTAAGATATAACAAACAGTATATGTCCCCAGCAGCATGCCTATGCAGAGAAGGATGATTCCATTTGGCCAGTGGAATATTCCCTAAAGACAAAGAGAACTACAGGGGGAAATTCATAAACTTTCCTATTGCCAATCAGTAGCAACAGTGGGGAATTGTTATTCTAAGCCTGTTGCGTGTGGGCTATGGAAACATCACATAAGCCACTGCATGGCATCTCTGAGAACATCTATTGTTGGCATCTTTGAAAGGAGAAGGTGCTATGAGATGGATGAGGTCAAACCCTTAGCCCTGCATCTGAAGTACATAGCTGCATTAAAATAAATCCATAATGCATGCTATCTTTCTAAAAAGCACACAGTTCCCAGCTCTGATCGCTGCAATTGACTAGACTGATAGAGAACATTCTCAGAACTCCCAGGAAACCTGGCTCCGGAAGGGGGAAAAATATAAGACTATTCTAGCTATTTTCTGTTGCTATAATAAAAACTGACCAAAACCAATTTGGGGAGGAAATGGCAATTTAGCTTACAGATCCATGATGAAGGGAGGCAAAGCCAGGAATTGAAGGCAAGAACCTGGAGGCAGGAACTGAAGGAGAGACCATGGGGCGGATCAAAGGACAGGAGGATGACTGCTTGCTGCCTTGCTCAGCTACCTTTCCTACGTGACTCAGACCCACTGTCCACTGTAGGCTGGGCCCTCTTGTATCAATTAGCAATTAAGAAAATGCTCCATAGACTTGTCCAAAGGCCAATCTGATCAAAGCAATTCCTCAACTGAAGTTCTCTCTTTCCAAGTGTGTCAACTTGACAAATGAAGCTAACTATGACAAAGACTGACTTGGAGCATATTAGACCAGAGAACAAAGGGGTGCTAATCACTGCCAGGGCTGGGAATAAAGACACACTGTAAGCAGTATGTATGGCTATGCAATTTACAACAGACGGAAATCCATCTAATGTTTAAGTGTGTTCATTCACGTGAAACTATAAATAAAGAAGAAAGGTAGGTATAGCGATACATGACTGTAATCTTAGCGATCGGAAGGCTAAAGCAGGAGGATCATGAATTCAAAGTCAGTCTAATCAGCAGAGGGAGAGACTATTCAGTAGGAGGAGGATGAAGACTATTAAGTGGAAAGAGCACTTAGGAGATGGAGACATGAAAGTCAGGAGTTCAAAGTCATCCTTAACTACAGAGCTGGTTTGAAGCCAGACTTCTAGGCTACACTATGGACTGAAGAAATCGCTCAGTGGCTAAGAACATGAGGACTGAGTTCAACTCCCCAGCAACCAACCATATGAACAACAAGGCATGATTTTGTGTGCCTATAACCTCCATTAAAACTAATGGAGTCAGCTGGACCCAGAAAGCTTGCTGGCTAACCATCCTACCCAAAACAATGAACCTCTGGCTCAATGAGACACTGTCTCAAGGCAATAAAGAAGAGGTTAAAGAGACCAGGCATCCTGCTCTGGCCTTCACTCACACACACACACACACACACACACACACACACACACACCTGCACACTCACATGCACAGAACCAAGAGGACTGAGCACTATGCTAAGGCCAGCCTCAAGCAGCATCCTGGATGTTAATCTCCATACAAGACAGTTCTAGTTTGACTGTCCTTGTTCTTGTCAAGATTACCCATGAGGTCACGCAGTGTCTTCCACCCAGTTAGGAAAGCACAATGAACTGGAAGATCCCTTATTTACTGGAAATACTTGGGGCCAGCAGCACTTGGCATTTCACACTCCTCTTGATTTGGGGATATTTAGACATAATGAGATATGTTGGAAAAAGGACCCAAGTCTAAACATGAAATTTGTTTGTCTCACCACAATTTGTATGCAGAGCTGAAATGTGGTTTTGGATAATGTTCTTAGGATGCCTGCATTCTGACTACAACCCATCACAGGAGCTGAGGCGTAGAATTTTCCGCTTGTGACATCACATCAGTCCTCAAGAAGTCTCAGATGTTGGAGCTCTTTGATTTGATTTTTATTTATTATTATTATTACTATTACTACTATTAATGCTCAGTTGATACAAGGGTTACATGCTGCACAAAGCCCATGGGTCCTCTGGCCAGTGAGAGCTCCCTGCAACCCTTGGGCACCAGGTGCCTGGGGAATTCTCTCCCACTCCACACTTCCACACAGAGGATGTCTAATTGGAGACAGCACATTGTTTCCAGTTGCCAATGCCCTGATGTTCCCAGGTCCTCCCACCAGGTCTCTTCAAGGGTCCAGAACCCCTAGAATCTCCCTCTGCATGCCACGTTTCCCTTGTCAAATGCCTTCTGCCACCGGTTCCCACAGAAATCCTCAATGGTTGCACCTGTTACAGCGTCAATACCAGTGCAGGCCTCCAATTAGTCCTGTTCAGCTGAGAGAACATGGACCGTCACCAAGACACACTGCCAACTACCAGGCCCAGCCTAGGGAACCCAGTGTGAGACAACCCAGGCCTCCAGAATGAGCAGCTGGTGGGGGAGCTGTGTCTGGTAAATTATTAATTAATTCTGTCTTCACTAATGAAGCTCCTGCTGCAAACAGTCCCTGTTTCTTGGAATGCCCAGACTAGAGAATGGTTATCAAGTGTCAGAGGGCTCCACAGTCACTTAAGGCTAAATGCAACCTACTAAGTGCTCCTCTAGGCCATCATGTGCAAGATGACGAAAATATACAAGCCAACAAAACAATACACTCAAAAGCTCTAAATGGCATGTGGCAAAGGCTGGTTCTCATTGGAGGTGACATTAGGGCTCAGACTCCCTGCACCCCGCCCCACCCCCATCCTCCATCTCTCTCACCTGGTAGGCACGGATAAGGGACTGGACTGCCAAGTGGTCTTCTACCAGCTTGCTGGTCTTGGTGCAACTTGACACTGATGCCCTGCTCTCTGGGATAACAGCTGGGGGCTGTGGCTGACCCATAGAGGCCTCCTTACTGGCTCTCTGGAAGAAGCTGTCCCAGGACTAGGTAGGGAAGAAGAAAGAACCCAGCCAGGTCAGGTGGAGAAGAGCTGGGATCCCCAAAACATTCGGTGTTCTTGGGAACCATGGTGCTTAGGGATTTTCCAGAGCCTCCATTCAGGAACTCCCTCTACTAGTCCAGGTCCCTTACACATTCCCCAGCTTTCCTCAGGATGTGGGTTCAGTTATGACAGGGACATCTGCCCACATATATACTCTTAAGTTGTTAGAAAACCCTTTCTACAGTCAGCTGTGTGCACGCATACAAGTATACTCTGCAGCACTATTCACAGCAATCAAGACAAGCAGTGAACTAGAAGTCCATTACTGGGGACAGGTGACATACTACTTAGGCAGGAACAAAAAATGGGGCTCTTCTCATAGTGACATGGAAAGAGCTGAGATCACTAAATGAAAGTCAAAAGCAAAACAAAACAAAACAGGATCATTCCCTGTCACACTGATGGAAAAGTGGAGGGAAATTCTGTTATGTTTACAAACATTTACAGAGAGAAAAATCTCAAAGAGGAGAAACTAAAAAACCCCATGGTGGGCTAAGAGGGGCCTTAGACCAGTGACTTTTCATGCTGCTTGTGTCTGGATCATGTGACTGCTGCCTTTTCTCCCATTTCACTTTTAGATATCAAGGTGTGTTTATCAGATGACACATCTATATGCATTTATTTCTTAATTTCATCCCAGGAGCCATCTGGAGAGAGCTCAGCATAACCAGACAGGACAGGTCTCTGGCATATCAAGCGGGAGATCTTTGTGGTCCATCTAGTGGGATGGACTCACACATACTTTGATTGGTAAGAAAGCAAGAAGCCTCTCCCTTCTCCCCCACACAATACACAGGGACTGAGGTCATGGCTGGTCCTCGGCAATCCCTCATCCTGCTATCCACCCCAGCAGCCTCCTTCCCATAAAACGCAGAATGCCAGTGCCAACCTTGTGAACGCTACATGGGTTTTCCAGCCAGGCAAAGTACATCTCCTCCACATAACTGGAGCTGGCACCGCTTCTGCTCCTTGGGATGGTAGCTGGTGGCCCAGAAGACCTCCTGCGCCCACTGAACACTGGGACATCCCGTGTGGCCAGGAGCTTTGTGGCCCGCGGCCCCAACCTGAATGGCAGCAGCCTCAGCTGGCTCATTCTGAACCTGGGCAAAAAGGGAGAAACAAATCACAGGACTCAGTCAAGAGGAAGCACGGATACGTGCGAGTTCACTCCAAACTCCTATCTCTTTCTGCTTCATTTTCAAGCAAGAGGTCTCAGCTCAGTAACCTTCTCCCAAAGACTCTGAAACCCAATGCTCCTAGCCTCCCCTCCAGCCTAGGCTCCCTCTCTGCTGGCCCTGGAACCCTGCTATCCCTATACACAACTCTGCTTCAGGGGAAACCTAGCTCAGGCCCTAGAGCCCACTCAGAAGATCACAGAACATGTGTAGGCAGTAACTCAGAAAAGGGATGGGCACATAGCCTACCACCTTGGAAACGGGGCAGGGGTCCCCCAGCACTGGGTTGGCTGTACATGGTCAGGAAAGGCAGGGGAAGGGTGCTGAGGAGTAAAGGCTCGGAAGGATGGGAGAAGACAAAACCCACTATCCCTGGAGTCTCCGACCACTGGCCAGAAGTGACCAGTGACTCCCTAGGAGTGCAATACTAGGGCAGGGGGTCCTTGCTTTTGGGCAAAGCCAAAAGGTCAGGAACCAGACCTCAACAATAGCCCTACTTCACAGAAGTGAAGACTGGGGGTCCCTATGGTGGAGGCAGAACTGAAGGCAGTCTAGTGACAGATCCCTGCTATAGCTGTCTTCTGTGGCTCCCAAATGCTACCTGTAACTCACACTCTGGACAAACGCCACCCAAGGCAGCTGTCAACCCAGGGTACTTTACAGGTCAGGGGCCGCCCAGGTCAGGAAAACACAATACTGGGTTCTCTTCACTTGTCAAATTACCTGCCCCTTCCCAAGGAAGAGACCTAAATAATGGGCAGGCTTTCAATGGATAGACAACCTCAGCCACCTCTCCCCAGAACTCCCTAGGAATTTTAAAGGTCCCTGCTCAGACATACTGAGGCCTCTGCTGCCCTAGGGTCCTGCCACCACATGTAAAGTGGGACCTCTGTTGCCCTTCCTTACCCCATGGCTTTGAGCAGGAGGTCCTCTCCTGCCCTGCCCTGCCCTGCCCTGCCCTGCCCTGCCCTGCCCTGCCCTGCCCTGCCCTGCCCTACCCTGCCCTGTCCTGCCCCAGCCTGGAGTAGATCCTTCCTACTGAATACTGACTAACATTCTTCTGCCTGGGGAGTCCAAGCTTCAATATAGAGTACAACCCTAGAACCACACATCAGAGTCCAGAAGCCCATGGCCCCTTATACAACTCACTGACCCAGAACACTTACATTCTAGGGTATATAGTCCTGGTTAGAACTAGGCCTGAGTCAATACTCCTAGGTGTGTTCAGCCAACTGTCCACCAATTACACCCCTCCACCCTACCCCTGCCACCAGCTAAACCAAGTCAGGACACCACTGGCTAGAGTTCTTGCAAGGGATCAAGGTCACCAAAGGCTCTCCTGGGCTGCCTCCCCTCCGGCTTCCAAACTCACTTGAGCTGGAGGGACAGGTGAGTTCCTCAGTTGAGGAAAGTTGATTTCCTGAGGTGACCTGTGGCCAGTCTGAATTAGAGAAAAATTAATAACTAGAAAATATATTCTATGGAAGGTGCTATCCGAACTCTGAACCTCAGGTGTCCCAGGATTCCCTCTAACATTTCAACCCTCGAGCTAATGTAGCCAGGTCCCTTAGTGAGTCGCTCGGGGCTGGGCCTCCTGGAACAGCAGCTTTCCAAAGGCTCGGCATGGACCCTAGGGTCAAACAGTTCGAGTCGCAACATGGAGACATGGGGAGAACCCAAACAACCATGGGGCTTCAGCATCCGCAGTCCACACAGCAAGGGAAACAGATTGTAATGAAAGTAAGGGTACACAGTCAGACAAGGCTGGAACGGTGCTCAACATCCTCAGAGGGGCACAGAGCTGGAGAGTGACCAGCTATTGTTCCAGGGCCTGTGTCTTCCTCATGGCAGCACCAAGATGTCAGCCTAATATCGCCTTGGGACAATGCCCCAATTGCTCCTTCTGCCAGCTTTACCCCCACAAGGTGATAGGACAATTCAGGCCAGATAGGGACAATGCTTGGCTGTATCCAGCCTGGCCCAGTGTTGGAACACTGTGTTTCACAAATACAGAACAGTCTGGGCAGCCAGACACTGCTATGGCCTTCACCCAACCCAGGAGGAGATGCCAGCCATTCCTACCCCCATGCCAGCTGGGCTTGAGGACCCCAGAGCTTTGTTGAGCTCTAAATCTATAGCCAGAGTCCAAATTAGCCCTGTTAGGTCCTGCCCATACAGGGCAAGATGGCAGCAAGCACACCCCAAAACATGCCATGTGCAAGTTTCTAATGGGAAGATCTTGGGGCATCCATTCTGGAACAATGTCATCCAGTAGTCCCAACCCAACACCAGAGCCAGTTCAGGCAACCTAAGACTAAGACTCCCGCAGGGGTGCACAGGGGAGGGCTGCTTCACAATGGATCCCTTGGGAAAATCAGTTAGTAGAGGTCAGAGTAGGGAGGTCCCCTTTCCCCCAAGCCCTGAAGCAGCACGTAGCAGCAGAGCCTGCATTTCTGTATTTCTACTGTCTTGTACTAGAAACTGGACTCACTGTCTGACTGGAGAATGTGGAACTCCAAAGAGCTAGGCAGCAGGTTGTGATGGGGTTGGGGTACAAGCTTATTTTCTTGACAGGGAGGAAGGAAAGGCTAAAGTCCAGAATTGGGAAATGTACAAAGGTGGGTGAGGACCTGTTTGAAGGTTACCGGTGGATGAATGGAGAAGAGATACACAGACTGGTTTCAGATTGGACCCCATATAGCTGGGAGTTTCAGCGCTGGGTCTTTACAGATCGTGATCTTTAGGGTCGATCAGATAAAGCCTCTTAGGGCTGCTCATTCTGAGAGTGGGAGGATGGCTGAAACCTCAAACTACTTGAGCAAGGAATCTGGTCGGCCTCGGTTTCCTCAAGTGGGAGCAGAGACTGTAGTTAGAAACACGTATAGAGCCTGTCCTGGGACTTCGAAGCTGCTTGCGTGTCCCAACAGATGCAACCCTGGAACCTCCTCAACCTCAGTGCTGTTCTGGGCAGCCCCCTCTCCTTGGAAGAGTACCAGGCAGGCTCCTCTCCAGGCCACTACGGTAAAGAGTGAGGGGGGGCTGCAGCCTTCTGGCCTGAAGCCCCACTATTGGCAAGTCACTCCTTTCCATGAAATCTGCACTCGCCTGCTGAAACGCGCAAAGGGCCGGGGGTCCTAAGGAACACCGCACTTAGTCAAAGGAGAAACCAAGGTCACGTTCCCTTTCCCCACACCCCACCCCACCCCCTCCCCAAGGGCCTGGCTGAGGTTAGCGGGCAGCGCTGCCCCAGGACCTAGGATCGAGTTGCAGAGGGGACAGCTCGCAGGAACGGGGGTCGCGCCGCCGCGCTCACCGGCTAGCCGAGGTTCCGGGCCACGCGGTCCGGGGGGGGGCTGAAGGTCCGGGGACTGCGCGGAGGGTCGCGAGCGGCGCGCTGTATCAATTACCTGGGTCACGTGACACGGCCGCCGTGAGCGCGCACCCTCGGGATTCCGCGCGTCGTGACGTCTCGGTAGACGCCCCGCCCCGTCTGCGGCCCTCGCTGTCCAAGGTGCTGACCTCCCCGATCCAAGACCACATGTGGTCCCCAAAGAGCAAGGCTCCTCCAGATGGCCAGCAGGAGCCCAGATCCGCCCTGTCTGAGTGACTGGAGACACTGCTGGACCCATAAACCCCAGAGTCCTCGACTTGAAACTAAGAAGAACGTACCAGAATAAAGTAGACTTGTATGTGTGTTTTGGGGGAAAGATAGAGTCCTCTCTATCACTCGTAAAATGAGAATGCTATTAAAATTCCTGCTGTTTTCAGGCTGCTTTGAAGAAAGGATGAAGTAGTTTATGAAAAAACGCTTAGCACACTACCTATTCACTTTCCGAGGGACTGTGGCTCGGTCTTCCTCTCAGAGAACCATTTCCACAGACAGTGTAACAAAGAATATATAGACAGAACCTGTGGAAATTTAATCTGCACTTTCATTATTTGTGATTTGCAACTTATGTTATTTGTCAATTTGGAGTTTTTCTGTTGTATCTCTGCCTTTTTCTTTTTTGTATTGGGTTCTGTTTCATTTGTAAGCAAATACAGTATACCTGTGGCTGGAAATGCTATCAGCTGTCCTTTACAGGATTACTGTAACCGTCCCTAACTGGCTTCTGTGTTTGCATCCCTTAATCCTAATCCAGCATAATAGCTAGGGATTTCCTCGTGGAGCACAGTTTCCTGTCACACCTTTGTTCAATCATCTTTCTACATAGCTGTTTAAGATTCATTGATCCTAAGAAAACTATGGATAACCGACCTTGTGTTTTTGAGTGTTCAATCTGAAGGCTCCTACATCACATAAAACCATAATCAAATGAATTTTTTATGTTTTTCTCTTGCCAATCTGTCCTTGATTTATAGGAGTCTTGGTCAGCATCCTTTGTGAGAATCAGGAAGGAAATTATCCCTTTTCCTTCCCTACAAGGTAGTAAATACCTGTAATTCCAGCACCGTGAAGGCTAAGACAGGATAGTTAAGAGTTCAAGGTCAGGCTGAAATACATATTGAGAACCTGTCTCAAAACAACACCCAGATTCTGTCCAGGACGCTCTATGCAGTTTTGAATGTCTAAAATTACATTTTTGAAACCTTTTTCTGGCAACTGTGGGGAAAATGGAGGGGAAAATGTAAAAATGTGCATTGTCCTAAGTGGGAGACGGTCAAGCACTGCTAGAGAAGAAGCTGGGACAAATTTGATGGACAGTTGAAAGCCACTTGGGAGATCGGCGGCTTGCAAGGTGTTTGACAGGGTGTGAGTAACATGGATTTCTGGTTTTCTTGACTGGAGTTTGTTGAGCAAGAAACAGGTGCGATGGACTGAGAGGCACATCAGAGAAGTTTACAACTGAGAACCAATAACGAATGAATGAGCCAAGAAGGAACATTAACTAGTGTCCGTAGGCAGGGCAACTCCCTA